TCACTTAATATTGGCATATTATTTCTCAAAACAAGACAATATGTGTTGCTTCTCTAGAAAATTCTTCTTGATTTGAGATTTTTTAGACATTTGGACTCGAAACAAGACAAAAAATCTAAGTAAGAAAAGCATTTTTTGCAGTGTAGTGCCGCATAACCAGCTTGAACCAGCGACCCAGCGACCTTCTTGCTGTGAGGCGACAGCACTACCTGCTGCGCCACTGCTAGTCCCTTGATTCATCAGGGGTCACCACAGTGGAATGAACCACCCACTATTCCAGCAAATGTTTATCGCAGCGGATGCCTTTCCAGCTGCAACCCAGTACTAGTACACACCCATACACTCGCACATTTACACATACACTACGGCCAATATAGTTAATCAATTCCCCTATAGCGCATGTGATTGGACTGTGGGGGAAACCAGAGCACCTGGAGGAAACCCACGCCAACATGGAACCTTTATAAATAAATTTAAAAAAATAATATTTAGGTTTACTATTAAGTACAATAAAAACCTGTAATACTTATAATGGCACTCCACTTTAACTCAAGTATAAAGGAGTAACCTGCTGACTGTCATAACTCTGTCTGTTCACGTAGGGCTTTATCGATGACTCCACACAACAGTTTTCAAGATGCTTTTGGGAAACCAATCCTAACATCAATATCAGTTATGCCATCATTTTAATATGATCTACATGATGCTTTTGAGAAACGCAGCGCTGGAATGATTACAGCCCGTTTAGCTTATAACAGTAATGTGGCGTCTGTCGTCCCATGCAGCCTCCAAACTGGCCCAGTGTAACTAATGTGAGTGTAGCATATGTGCTGAATTCAATTGAGCTGTAGGTCACGTGTGGAGCAGTGCAGCATGGTGTTTGCTGGCGATGCGACAGTTTTAGCAGGTGAAGCCATTACCAGCACAGCGATACACACCTGCCTCCCACCGTCAGCAGAAGCCGGACACCGAGCGGGAATAAGGACACCAGTCGGAGAGACGTTTAGCATCTCACGAGGAGCGATAAACGCCTTGCTACTTAACAGCTAACATAGGGCCCGGGTGATGATTGTTTCGACTGTGTGCATGGACGCGTGACTGCTTTTGCACTGTTGATAAATGGGCCTGTGTGTGCTTGTGTACTGTACGTCACAGTGTTTGCTTTCACCCAAGTAAGATGTACAGCTGAAGTCAGAATTATTAGCCCCCCTGAATTATTAGCCCCCAAGTATATATTCACATTTATAAACATTTTATTTCCATTACTAATTTCTTATAAATTATTATTTTTTTTTATCTTTGCCATGATAATGTTTTACTATATACATATATTTATATAGTAATATATATATATATATATATATATATATATATATATATATATATATATATATATATATATATATATATATATATATATATATATATAAAAAAAAGAAAAAAAAAAAAAAAAAAAAAAAAAAAAAAAAAAAAAGTAAATATATATGTATATATATATGTGTATGTATGTGTATATAAGTGACTTTGAACGTGGCATGGTTGTTGCTGCCAGACGGGCTGCTCTGAGTATTTCAGAAACTGCTGATCTACTAGGATTTCCACGCACAACCATCTCTAGGGTTTATAAAGAATGCTCCGACAAAGAGGAAATATCCAGTGAGCGGCAGTTCTGTGGGCGCAAACGCCTTGTTGATGCCAGTGGTCAGAGGAGAATGGCCAGACTGGTTCCAGCTGATAGAAAGGCAACAGTAACTCAAATAAGCACTCGCTACAACCGAGCTCTGCAGAAGAGCATCTCTGAACACACAACACGGCCAACTTTGAGGCGGATGGGCTACAGCAGCAGAAGACCACACCGGGTGCCGCTCCTGTCAGCTAAGAACAGGAAACTGAGGCTACAATTCACACAGACTCACCAAAACTGGACAATAGAAGATTGGAGAAACGTTGCCTGCTCTGATAAATCTTGATTTCTG